TATCCCCAAGTAGAGGTACATCACTCAAAAACAGTAAGGGGTGCAGTAGACCCTGGTTACGATTACCTTTTGTCAGTGACCTGTCTAATTTCGTCAGTGCTCTAAGAGGTACTGTTGCGATTAGCGTTCAACCATTCACACAAGCTTGTAAGTGCCAATGATTCTGAAAAAACATAGATAATGTCTGTGTTGCTGTGCATGTGTATGGATGCTATGAACAATACAGTAAGAGGTGTATGAGAGTTCAAATCATTCTGTAATTCATTGTGCATTCGAGAACACCACCCCAGTTGGCTTAGTCGCGGATTGATGAGAACCGGGGGTATGGCAATCACGGCTCACTTGATCGAATCCGAACATCGTGTCAGAATGTGTGAGTCAATCAGGCCCATCTACACGATCATCGGGGTGAAATTGAAGCAGGTCAAGCATCGTTTACTGTCTCCACAGTCGAAGCGATCGCGATTCCATTGAAACGCCCCCTCCTTGTTCGTTCAAAAACGGTCAGTCAGAGCTCTGGACTTACTATGACGCTAGAGCGACATGAAGCCGGTTATCAACTGAATGTCAAACGGTTTATGCATCTGATACATTTCACAGTACAAATAGTATTTACAGAATGATTTGAACTATCGTACATCTCTTACGAGTCAAGCGTTGGCCCAGTGTCATCATCGCTTGAGCATTTTCCATTCGGAATTTCCCACATGGCGCACCGCTCCACAACTGATTCTCTTGGGGTGATTCTCTACCAACAGTTAGGCAACATCGGATACGGAACCTATCCTCCTCCTGTGCCGACCCGAAAATCACACGACCGATCGGGTTCATTTATCGATCGGTCGAATGGGGCCTGGTGCTTGCCCAGCTAACCCGAGCGAGAAACCACACCTTTTTTTACAGCTGTGAGTCTCAGGCAGGCCCAGTGAACTTCGACTGTGTAGCAGGAGTGCCATCAGCACTCGGATGGACTGGACGTAACAGCAAGAGCATTAGAAACCGTACAAGCCGGTAATCAAACAGTCTCGTGTTGGGGTGAGGGATTTCAAGCGCCGCAGATCGCGGAATATGATCCGATCAGATCACAGAAAGAGTCAGAGGAAATTTACTTGTTTAAGGTCACGGGTGAGAGGGACGAGACGATCGAAAACGATGGAGTAATCGCGCTGTACATCATTTGTTCATAGAATGTATCTTCCTACATTTTCAGGTTTCTAAATTCGGCTACTTACAAAATAGTCAGTAGCTAGTTGAGTATTTTGTGTTTTGCTTTCTACTTAATATTACAATCATGTGTTATTGTTCCTCTTTTTATCTGATTAAAAGAGGAACCTTTTTATTCCAAATCACTACACACCCAACCGTGGCCATCGACTGTTTATTTTGCGGGTAGGAGCCTTGGCTCTCAATAAGAAGTTTTGCGGTTCGAATCACCGGATGAACACAAAAATATGCTCTGATGAATACGGATGTAATAGGTGTTCGTTGTTTTTTCTCCATCTTTANNNTTTACTCATTATTTTACCAATAAAGGGTACCTGACTCGTAACATGTCATATTTGAGTCATTTTCTCGGTCGTCACACACACGCTTCGTTTTATTCTCGGTCTACCTACAGGTTTCCGCACCTCATGACCACGGAGAACGAGTTAATGCTATGGAATTTTCTTTCAGTGAGCGCGGCAGAGCAAAGTTAGTCCCGCTTGATTGTCGCACATGCTTGCATGCAAATGCACGGTTTTTCACAGTGATTTCTGCTATCTCTTTCATTCTGTCCTCTACCATTCCGTCTATGCACGGGGATCTTTNTTATCTTGTCTTATTCCAGACTGTCTGTGAGCCAACAGCAATGGACAGCAGTGACACGGGCCACCAGTGTTCGCATAGGTGCGCCACATGGCGTTGTATCGGTAGTGCACATCTTTGTGACCGATACCAGATGTACTCACTTATGCTCACCAGAACCATTTTATGAAATTGAATGCCAAACGGGTAAATTTACTAGATAATGACTTTTCGGGAAATGGGATTTACAGAAATACCGTCGGTAAATGGAGTTTAAGACGGTCTTCATTCGATGTTCGTATTGGCCCCTTGGCACGGAACCTGATTGATTGAGCAACAGATTTCTATCGGAACACTATATTCGAGCAACGGGTTAGCGGAACAGACGCACTACATCAGGTCGCCCATCCCGAAATATCTGAATGTTAATTGTCATTCAGATTTGTTGAAATTATTCCCTGATAGATAGGATCTATCAAAAATCTTTTCTTTGCACACCTCGAGGAGGCTTTTTGTGCTTTGCTTACTTTAGTTTTTATCTGAAACCTTGATCTTTTGTGCATTGGAGATTCTCAGCAGGTGATTGGAAGAATAACATTTCTGCCCGGTCATAACCGAATCAAGGGTCGAGTGCCACTTGTTGGTCTTCAGACGATTTATCTCAAATATATTATATTATCACACACACGTCCGATTCCAGACTGTGTACCAAACGAATCACATTACAGTAGTTTGTGTTAAATAGGTAAGCCTTTCTCGATTTGCTTGTGGTTGCGACACTTCTAGGTTGCCCAGATCAAGGAACGTGAATTTTCTTGATGGATTCATAACCGGAGCCATCGGCTAGCCAGAGTCAAGGTACTCAATACGCCTCGATGCCAAATTGAGCCGTTGACCACTGCCACAAACAGGCATGTACGCCTCCTCTTGGTTGGTTCGGATTCAGGGTTTTAGCCAATTCCCCTAAGTCAAAGTCAAAATCAAAGTTTTATTATGGGAATAACTTACAAGCGCGTGCTTCTCTTGTTCCATAGGATATTTACACAGATGAATCGTTGCACATCGAAAAAGTAGTCACATAGAGTTCCGGGCAGGAGATAATAGAGAATGTAGACTACAGTGAATTTCCGTTTGCTTTTAGTGGTGTACGAATGTGAGGTGTGCCAAGGTTTCGTCGAGTCTCTGCTTGAAAGATTCAATAGTGGATGCACAAAAGACATGAGGCGGAAGGCTTTCCAAGATCTGCATACTCTGACAGCAAAAGACTGGCGCCGGCAATCCAGTCGACACTTGGGAATCAGTAGTTTGAAACGATGTCCCCTTAGGTGTACATTTTTCGATGACGTGAGCAGCGATCGACACGGATGGTTTGGGTTGTGCAGTATTTGATACGTCAAAATCAGGTCTCCTCGAGTTAGACGGTACTGAGCAGAATTTAGTCTCAATGATCGTAATCTCTCCTCATATGTCAGGTAATGCAATCCTCTGACCATCTTGGTGTGGACGCTCAAGCATCTTGCGATAACGTTGAAGCCATGGACTCCAAGCTTGAAAGGCGTACTCTGTGTAGGGTCGAATGTACGCTGATAGCAAACTTGGGAATAGTGATGATTCAAACCGACCAAAGACTCGCCGAAGTAAACCAAAATTCTTCATAGCAGCAGATGAATCCTTAGCATCGTTGTTGGAGCAGCTTGAATCCTCTTGAACAACGATACCTAAGTCCTTTTCGCTAGAAGCATGTGGTAGCTGCTGGTCCCCGAGGAAATACGAGAATTTCCGCTTGTGGCGTAGGGATAGGACTTTGCATTTGGAAACATTAGATTCAATGTCGTTCGCCTTAGACCATTGGTAAGCTGCGTTGTGTGATTCCTGAAGTGTTAGAGCCCTCTGGTTCTGTTACCTTGTTCCAGATTTTGGCGTCATCTGCAAACAGTATTGTTTTTGAGCCTAACAATTTCGGTAGATCATTAACGAAGGTGAGGAACAGACGGGGACCGAGTACGGACTCTTGTGGAACACCGCGGGTGGCTTTAATAGGTCCGGATATGGAATCAGAAACGCGAACTGATATGGTTCGTTGTTCGAGGAATGCTTTAATCCATTCAAATGCGAAACCTCAGACGCCATAATCTTAGAGCTTCTGCAGCAAAATTTTGTGATTCACCGTGGTTCACCGACCCGGTTCTAGCCCGGACTTTGGCTTTTCGTCCTCTCACTTTGGTGTGATAATCACTTCCGCCACGGGAGAACAAGGAGTAGGGCTTCCTCAGCAGAGGCTATTTGAGACGCTTGGACATATAGAAGCATTTCGCGAGATGTAAGGTTAGTGTTACCAGCCGCGGCTCAAGACACCCACCCCCGACGAAACTAAGGCTTTCGGAGGCGGTTTCTTCAACAAAACATACGAGACCTGCACACTCATGATCAGTAAACATACCCCGTGAATTCGCACGACGAATGAATTACTCGATACCGTTTTTATTGTTTGCCATTTGTTTATAAGCCCTTTGCGTTACTCATTCACAATTCTTACTCATCCGCATTGACTTTGTTTTCATTCCAGGACAAGTTCTTCGTGAACTGGATGTAACGTCAACACAGTTAGAACCGTTAGTGGTCGAGGAGCTGCGCGCTGAGTTGCTCGGCAAGGAGCGAAATGCGGACAGCGATCAAACCCCGGTCGTCCCGGTTCCTCTGACTGGACTCTATCCATCCGCTCTGGGCAGCAAGATCATGGACCCCGGTTTGAAATTGAAAATGCTCCTGTACCTGGTGAGTCCCCTAAGTCTAGTTGTTTGAAAGAGAATAATGTGTGTTTAATCCACACGGTTATCCAGTTCAATTACGAGTTATGCGCATTGTGAGAAGAGTATTACGACTGATCTTGAGGTTTATTGCGAACACGAATGCGGTAGCCCTGAAGAAAAACAGCGTGTAACGCTGTATAATGCACATGAACAACACACCACAAATCATTGTATTCCCCAAGGTCTGCGTTCCTGAAGCGGTCGACTGAGGAATTCTTATCAAGAGACTGTTCTACCACCGCGAGTGCCCCGTCAAGCTTAAAAAACGGCATGGTGTCGGAGGGCAAACGAATTAGAGGTGATCGTGGTGGGGGGCACCTCACTCGATCTGAATAGGATAGCGAATCAGTCTGAATAATACCAAACAAGCCGACTTTTCAAATGAATGATAATTGAGGTGTGAGGTGGAAAGCACATCGTATGCGGATGGAGGTTTGAGGTCTCGCGATGGAGGCTAATTTGTTTGATTGATGATAGATAAACAAAGAAGCAGAAATCATTTTTTTTTTCAATCAATTGGTCCCACAAAGTGAGTGTACCATTCAGTGAGAAATATTGAATTAGATTCTGTCGCTATTTCCCGTTTGGTTCAGTTAAAATTATAGCCCCTAATTGCGTCAACTAATTAAACTGTTGAACTGACTGGCCACTGGAATTTTTTCGCGTGCTTTACTAAACCGCTTCATTCCTTCCCATCACTTTCCCCGCCCTCTCTTCTCCCTGTCTATCTCGGTTTTCGCAGGTTGCCCAATATCACATGGAATCTCCTGGGACGCACTGCTCTCCACTCGATCGTAACTGTTTCCAACTGCCATGGTCTCCTTACGGTCCAAACCGTACTGTCTCATGTCGGACTCGGTCTGAACAGACGCAAGAAACGAATTCCGAATGGGTTATGGAATAATTTACAACCATTTTTCATTTATTTCATATTTTGACCTGGAAAGCGCACATTCACACTACACATGTTTTCACTTCCACTTTAATTGTCTAATTCTACTTACTGCACGGTCCGAGCTTTACTGCGTGTTTTGTACTCCTGTTTATATTTATGTAGACTGTCCCGTAATCTTCACAGTACACATGGCGATCCTTGCATCAGACCCATGTTCTGTTTCACAGCCCCATTCGGTCTGTACCAAGGTCTGGTTATCCCTTCTGTTGTATTTTATCCTGCAGTCCCAACAGCCTCATCCCAAGTGATGTGTGAGATGATCGGGCACAACTTGATTTATGAACTGTCACTTATTCTGCTCTCCTCTTGCTCCTCCGTATTCGACGCGTACTTCGGGGGTTGACTAGACAGGTAACAATGTATTGACATGATACGAATACGACTTCCAGTCTGTGGTTCGGCTTTTCTCAGCTCGGGTGCTCTTTTTTATCACAGACTTTGTCTCGTATACTGTGCTACAGTTTTCCCGTCAACCGAATTCTTTCCGTTGGTTGTGTATTTCAGTTCCAATTAACCTAAGTTTTCCACACCACGGGTATTTTTCCTTCCTTTGTTTCTTTTATTTACGCCATTGTCATCCTCTGACCTCAGTTTTCCTCGATCGGACCGCACAATTCTCCCCGGGATTTTACACTACTCGTTCCCCACCCGCTCTCCCTCACTGTCTGTACGAAGCGATCCGACAGTTGTAATTCAGGTCAGTAATTCTTTCTTTTGTTCCCCCAATTGTGTTTTATCTCTAGTCTCTGAAATCGTGCAAAGCAAGTGTGCATGAGCTAGCTTTAGTTTCTGCGGTTGAAGTTGTCGTTTGGGGAAGATATAGACCGGCCGTGAGCGTTCATTGTCCACTTTGAGGACATCTGATCTTATCGATTGGGCACGTTATTGTCAGTCTGGGCTCAGGTTACCCGCTGGCACCCCATGCCTAATGACCATTCCGGGAGTTCTTTCGATTCTGAAAAAGCTTTCAATGAATCCCTAATTTTTTAAAATATTTTTAAAAAAATAAATGGGTTCTATTTCAGTAATATATAAAAGTGAATTTTGCTACCATTTGTTTTAATTGACGTTGACCTTGACCATGTCTGGATCTAATGTGTCTAACATGTATCGGAATTTACATGAATTTCAAGGAGAAGCATGCGTGGAATACATGCAGAATCGTGGATTGTTATCGAAACAGCGAACATGTCCATGTGGACGAATAATGAAACTTCAAGAGTTTTTCCGGAGCCGTGATGGGTTTGTTTTTCGTTGTACAACATGCAAACGGCGAGCATCACTTCGATCGGGGACTTTCTCCGAAAAACCTCAACTGTCGTTATATACTTTGATGAAGCTGATAATTTATTTCGTCATGGAGGAGCCTGTAATCCGGGCCGCGGCAATGGCCAATGTGTCCAAGGAAAGTGTAATACACTGTTACACGTACTGCCGGAATATTTGTTCGTCAATTATGTGCTCCCTAAGCATTCAACTGGGGGGAGTGGGAAATGTGGTGGAGGTCGACAAAATCGTCGCGGTGAGGAGCAAATATGGACGCGATCGATCAATACCAACAGAGCGGATATTCGGTATGTGCGACCGCAATTAACGTAAAGGGTACTTCCAAAGAGCGAGGGACGGCTCTACGGAGACCCTAATACCCATTATCCGATGCTGGATTCAGCCGGGAAGTATCACATACGCGGACCAGTGGGCCGCATATCGGTCATTGTGTTCCCTGGGATACATACATATGTGTGTAAACCATAGTCATGGCTTTGTGAATCCCGCTACTGATGTTCGCACAAACAACGTTGAAGCGTTCTGGAGTCTGATTAAACGTCGCTTGAAGAATGTCACAGGATCTGTCGGAGATGTTATCTGCGAACATCTGGACGAGGTCCAGTACCGAACGTGGTTTGACTTTTGCATACAGACTTTTACAAGCGATATTAATACTTATTTTGGACTTATAAAACAACTTTATCATTGTTAATAATGATTTATTGTTAAGTAAATATATATTGCTCATTATATGTGTGTTCCCTGCTACAATATTGGTTATCCTACTCATGAGTAGTATATTTTTGATTGCATAAATTTTGCTCTATGGGTTGCCGGCATGTAACTTGGGCCACGACTTCCACGAAGCAAGGCGTCCACCCCGGAGGACATGGTGATTTCAAGTATCACATCCGACGCTGACACACGTNCCGCCTACGGTGACCTCCGACGAGCTGAAACAATTGTACGTCCGACGTGCATCCCTATCTGTGGTTGACTCATGCCTCATGTTCGCCAATCGTGTTGTCATTCCATCGTCATTACGTTCACGAGTACTCCGCCAATTTCATGCGACCCACCCCGGCATGAGCAGGATGAAGGCAATCACACGGCGCTTTGTGTACTGGCCGTTCATGGGCAGAGACATAGAAACCATTATTCGGCAACGTCCTCAGTGTAAACAGGCGGCCAAACTTCCACCAAAAGAACAACCAGTTGCGTGGCCAGTACCTACAGGTCCATGGGAGCGACTAAACATTGACTATGCGGGGCCATTAAACGATATCTACTACCTCACCATAGTAGATGCCTACTCCAAATGACCTGAGATCTACGCCATTTCCTCCCCCGCTGCTGGTAATACCGTTTCTTGTCTGCATCACGTACTCGCTCAACATGACCTACCGGAAGTGATCGTTTCGGACAATGGCACCCAATTCACTTCGGCTGTTTTTCGGGATTTCTGCCAACAACGACACATCCAACACATTCGGACTCCACCGTATCACCCAAAATCCAACGGTCAGGTGTAACGATTCGTGGATACTTTCGAAAGAGCCCTGTTAAAGCTTCGAAGGGAGGGGACTACAGATTAAGTTCTGCAGCGATTCCTCTCAGAATATCGTTCGATTCCGAATGAATCAACACCGAATGGCAAGACCGCTGCAGAAGCGCTAAGGGGCCGTAAATTGCCAACAGTCTACGACCTCATGTTACCCAAAGACACATCAGTTGAATCGCAAAGAGACACAATGGAAGTAAACAAACTGGCACCGAATGCTGTGGTATATGCCAGGGATTATCGTCCAGATCGCGACCCATGCTCAGAAGGAACCATTAAACGGTGATTAGGCAAAGTGCTTTATGAAGTGCGAATCGGGCAAGATACATGGTTACACCACAAGAACCAAGTGCACCCTAGATATCACCAATTTGGCGAGGTTGAACGAAAATCACCTCTCCTGGATATACTTCTGGACACTTTTGAAATCCCAACCA